TGATACACTTTCTACAGTATGTAAAGAAGGAGGATTTGTATGTTTGTTTTGAAAATAAAATAAAAAATTACAAAAAAAAAGGAAGAATAATCCATCTCACGTATGCTATGGTACATTCAATGTCCTTCAACAGTTATGAAGGAAAATCTCAGGCTGGCAAGAGAAAATGCTGTCGACACGGCCCAATACTGGACAAATGTCATTCAGTTTTAATCCTATTTATTCAACATACTTTTTACAATGTGTTTCATTTCTATGACCTACTTTATACCTATTTTATTTGCTGAGTGTTGAATGTTACATGTCTTGAATTTGTAGGTACTTCTGCCACAAATAAAGAACACTTAAACCAGTGTGTAATATTGAGATGTCATTGATTACACTTTTAGATTATCCCTAGAGCCAACTGGGAATCATTGATCTCTCAGTGGCTTTTGATCATGGTATCTTTTTAGAACAACTTTGGAGGCTGGGAGCGGATGATACCCAGTGTTGTAGTGTTCCCCTCCTTTCTCCAGGCCCAATTCCAGTTGTCATTGTCAGCATGGGAGAGCTCTAGCCATAGATCCTGACTTTGTGAAGCTTTCTAGACATCATCAACACACTGATGATACAAGTAGCTCTCAACTGAGCCCAAAATTTCCACTGCTAAGCAAGGCAGTTGTTAAGTGACTTTTGGCCATTTTGCAACTTTTCGCCACAGTTAAGCAAATCACTGCAGTTGTTAAGTGAATGGTCTGCCACAACAACCACAGTGACTCACTTATTGACTGTCATAAAATGAAATCTTGTCATGTAGTGAACTCTTGTCTTGTGACTGGAATGACTTATGACCAAAATGTTTGTTTCAATTACAGTCACACATTAAGGACTACCTGTAGCCCTTTGTTAGTCACAATTTGTTAATCACCCAGAGTCACAATTTGCAAGTTGGGCAGCCATATAAATCAATTAAATACATAAATAAATACCCTAGACTAGGAAGCAACTACCAACATTCACATTTTTCTGTATGTTCTTGTTAATATCCCATTGCTAATTTCAAAACCTTTTTTCTTTTAAAAGAGAAAGTGACAATAAAACATTCAGGGAGCAGAGCAGTGGTGGGTTGCAGGCGGTACGCCCTGTTATGGGCGTACCGGTGCCTCTTCAGCACTTCCGCGCATGCACACATAGCTCACGGTGCCTGCGCAACGCTCCGCCGAGCAGCTGGAGCATTGCAGAGGTGTCGCAAGAAGTAAGTATGCATATGCATGCTGCACACATTCATGTGGTGCACGCCGGGCCCCATTGTAACTGTACTGGTTGTAACGGGATCCAGAACCCACCAATGGAGCAGAGAATGTGTTACTGGCATTAAATCATTAAGCTGAGTTCATACATTTTTAAAAAACTGCCACTGCCAACATTTTAAAATTTTACTTTGTGTTGTAATTTACTTTGTAAATTGATGAAACTGTTTTTGGGAGAACAAGGATGTCAAAGAATAACTTATTCACTGGAAGCAAACTTCCCATTTATCCAATCGAATAATAGTATCTTACCTCCTTTCTGACCAGCAATGCATGGAACAATTCCTTTTTTGCTACAGAGACATCAGAGAATAGTTTTAGTAAAGCTGTCTAGATTCCCAATTTTCAATATCAATCCCTTTTTCTTTACATTCGAAAGGGGAACTTATTTCAGCACTTAACACAGATGACATATTGAGAATGTTTCCGGTTTACCTAGTTGAACATGATTAGTTCATACGAATTAAAATAGTCAAGATTCCAGCCAAGCCTATTAGACTAGCAATAATCTAATAGCATTTAGACTTATATTCTGCCCCACTAATTAAAACATAACCAAAAAACATTAGAACTTCACAACATTTTGATTAGGGTACAGCAGGGTAAAACAGGACAGCCTATTCAGAGGTTAAACAGAATTCGCTTGAAGTGGACATAAGATTGCAGATGTAAAAAGCAATTCAACAAAGGTTGAATGATTTGATCTAGTCAATGATCTGATTGATTAATGTTTGCTATTTGAATTAATTATTAGTTCTCCCATTCTTGGCAACTCTAATATACAGTTATAATAGATCAGGAATAGAGCAGGACTCTGAGAGAAATTATATACATATTTTAAACTCTGTATTTTAAGAAATAGTGTTTATGTACAACCTAATTCTGTTGCTAGTGGTTTTTAAACCACAAATTCCGCAAAAGGCACTTGGGATACGAATGCTGCCTGCTATATCTGTGCCAATGCCCAGAATGGATCCTTCACTTTTAATAAGAGCTCCTTCACCTCCTGACGATCCACCAGGGCTTTTTGTGGGATTCAAAGGATGCACTGTTGCTCCAAAGATCGGATTACTGCAATCATAACTGAAAAGACAAAGAATATTGTCAGCAATTGGTTTTGGAATAGTTCCAAATATTTTCCTAATAGTTCTTCCAGGTAGTGATCTAAGAATATGATTCAATTAGCCTTTTTATAAAATTATACTGTATCCCTTGATTAATCTTAATCTGAAACAATGGTATTTACAATTTGCCTCTTAATAAGGATTTTTTTCCTTTTCTCTCAGAATTAAAAAAAAAGACATTTCTTGAATTCTGAAGAGGACATGGTGATTATTATAAGCAATTAAGTCCTAAGCAGCATCATAAAGACTTGGTCAAGCTCAATTCTTCTACTTCTTAAAAAATAAGCTTCCTTAAACTTTAACAATTATCACTTACAAAGTGCTGCCCAAAGGTGTGATGGTAGAGATAAGGGGTACTGTTATCTGGGTGAAAATACCGGTCCTTTGGTCAATTTGAATCACCCACTTCAGTATCATACAGTACAGTCTAATTAGTTGATGACAAACCAATTTGTATAGAACCACTATTTGCTTTGTCTTTGTTTTATCATCGCCAACACCATTTTACTCTTGTTTTAAATTCACTGGGTCTCACTGTATTCCAAAGAACCAGTTGTGCTTCAATGTCCAGGTGAATGTGATTTGAGTGTAGATATTGATCAGGACTATGCAACTGAGTGACCATAAGCCAAACCCAGGAGTGCATGTAACAGCATACTTGGTCATCAGGAGGAGGAAGATGGCAAAGGTCAGCTAGGGGGTCAGGAGCTCAAAAGGGAGAGGGAAGACAGGGAAGGTGGGAAAGGGGTTGAAACTCTCCTGCGACTGTACAGTAAATGCAGGTGAGCTGCCAAACACCTGAACTTTGATCACAAGAGCACTGCAACAGCTGTAACTTCAAATGATTTACTTCATCATAAATCCCTTCTGTCAGTGTTGCTGTAACTTTAAATGATTGCTGAGTGAATAGTCTTAAGTCAAGGATTACCTGTATATAAAAATCAAAACATAGACAATGGCAAAAAAAAATATACATGATTTACGTAAGTAGAGATTGGGGAATATTTGTTTTTACGAATGGAATTGCTCCTTGATGTTTCAACACCTGCACTACCACAGCGTCTTCTGCTGCTGGTTGGAAGAGATGCTTTGCAAAGCCCAAAGTGGTGTCATAGCCCTGTGATGAGGAAAAGATATAAAGATGAGAAGGAAATTCAGGTTCCTCATAGAAACATCAGACACCATTCAGTGATGCTGGGTTTAAGATGTCAAAAAGCAGCAACACATTAGTAATGTATTTATTAGTTCCCCTGTGGAACGTTAAGAATGTTATTATACAGAAGATCCAAGGATAAATTCTTGATAGAAAATTTCTCCCTGAAATCCTGAACAGCATAAGACGGGGTGCCCAAACTTGGGAACTTTTAAGACTTGTGGACAGCCGGCAAGGGAATTCCGGGAGTTGAAGTCCACAAGTCTTAAAAAGTTCCCAAGTTTGGGCACCCCTGGCATAAGAACTGCTCAGAGTAAGCTAGATTAATTAGCAGTATAATTGAATTTATACATCACACTAGGCCAGTTTGGTTTTGACTTTGCAAGTTAGTTGTGGTTTTTAAACCACAGCTTCCAATTTAAATTACATGATTCCACCCATTTCAAGAAACCACAAGGTCTTAGGGATGGCAGATAAACATGTGGGAAGAAAACATGGGGTTTTGTGTGTACGTAGACATTGGCTACAAGGTTGCTATACAAAGATGGAAAGAGGACATACCCACAATTGAAGATTAGTCTTTCAAATTAATGGAACTAGCTAGATGGTGAAGTTGACTGCTTTAATTAGAAAAAAAGCAACTTGACCAACTTTCTTGCAACTTGACCACTGTTAGATTTCTTACAAGACAAGGACAAAAATCAGATCTTGACTTTGAGTTTTGAGGACGAGATTTGATTTGATTTGACTAGAAAAATACTGAAAGTTCTTTTTTTTCTTTTTCCAGAATTTTTTTTTATTTTTTGTTACATACCATTTTAAGTATTCATTCACATTAATTCTTCTTCTTTACATTTGTCATTCTTATACATTTATTATTTCATTTAATAGGTTTTAATATGCAGTTTGGGTTGCTTCATTTATCAACCCTTCCTCCTATTGTAACACCACCTTATTTCCCTTTCTTTTCTCCCTCCCTCCTCTTCTTTCCTTCCTCCTCTCCTTCCCCTTCCTTCTTCCCTTACCTTTCTCCTACTCTTCCTCTTCCCTTTCCTACCCTCTCTTTCTCTTTCCCTCCCTTCCATCCTCCTCTCCTTATCTCTTTCTTCTTTCCTCCCATCTTCCTTTCATTCTCTCCTCCTCTCTCCCTTCCTTTTCTATTGAGTCTCTTTCATATCTCAGTTTATGTTTCTTGGGATGGTATTTCTGCAGATCCAAATATAATTTGGTATCATTTCTTATTCTCTTACCTTCGCTAATCTATCCTATGTTTCTCGCTCCCCCATATATCTCGCTCTTGAATATATACTTGTATATTTATATTTTCTTTTCTGTTTTCCCCTTCTCCCCCCCCCACTTTTCCATTTAATAGTGCATTGTCTGGATTCCGTATCTTCTCTCTACTTTCTTTTCTAGTTTCCTTTCTCTAGCCAAACATAAAATTTTCCCCATATCTCGAAGTACTCCGATTCCTCTTTATCATTTATTTTCATTGTCAATCTATTCATCTCTGCACAATCTAGTATAAGATGCCCCTTTTTCCCTCAAAAGAGGCTGAAAATCTGGGTGCGTCTTATACACTGAATACAGCATTTTTTGCCTCCCAAAACCCCGCCCCTGTTACCAAAATGGCCGTGCATAGCTTCTAGAAGACTTTCAGAGAGCTCCTGGGGGCTGAGTAAGGCAGAAATGAGCGAAAAATGGGCCATTTTTTGCTCAATTTTGCCCCACTACCACCCAGGAGTACTCTACAAGCCTCCTCAAGGCTATTCATGTCCTTTTTTTTGGAAAGAAAACAGGCTTGTTTTGAGGCTGTGTCAGTATAAATAACAATGGCAATAGTGGACATCCTTGTCTAGTTCCCTTTGTAATCGCTATCTTTCCCGTCATCTCACCATTTACCATTACCTTTGCCAATTGGTTATTGTATATTGTTTTAATCATATTTATGAATCCCTCACCAAATCCCATCATCTGAAGTTGCATTATCATAAATTGCCAGTTCACATTATCAAAGGCATTTTGTACATCCAGAAATAACAACGCCATTTGCTTCTCTGGATGGGCTTCATAGTACTCTAGCGTATTCAATACAATTCGCATATTGTCTCTGATCTGTCTCTTAGGGAGAAATCCATTTTGGTCTATGTGTATGAATTCATTTAAAAGTCTCTCCAATCTTTCTGCCAATTACCTCCCTGCGACCAATTAGATCACATAGAGTAGGCCTCCTCCGAGTTCCATCTGCCAGTCAGTGCCGACTGGCAACTACAAGGAG